GGAAACTGACCAAGGAGAGATTCAACCTAGAAATAAGGAGGAACTTTCTGACAGTGAAAACAATCAACCAATGGAACAGTTTTTGCCTTTGGAAGTTGTGGGAGCTTCATCACTTGAGACTTTCAAGAAGAGATTGGACTGCCATTTGTCAGAAACAGTGTAGGGTTTCCTGCTTGAGCTGGTGGGGGGGGGTTGGAATAGATGACCTATAAGGTTCCTCCCAACTCTGTGAATCTGAGACAGAGGGAGGAAGGAAGGAAGGACCTGTTGCACATAAATTCAATGGCTGAAAAAATTAACCTGTTTGAAAACCTGCTACCAAGTTGATTATGGACATTTCCTTAATTTAAAGGTTATTAATCAACTGAAAGATAAACATTGCAGCTCTTGTTTACACTGGGAAACTGATTCTACATGACATTTAATACAGCACAATATTATTTATCCTATTGATTAGAATCCATGATGAACGCTCAGAAGCGCATGTCATTCAGCAAAGCTTTTTGCAAATATAATTGTTTAGGTATGTCCAGGATTTTGCTGCTTCCATAAAACTAATAAAAGCAGCATCACAATGTCACCATGCAGCCTTCACCCCTTCGTGTAAGCACACAGTGCAATGATGCCTATACAAAACAGGCTAGGTTTGCATGGGGATGCCATGACTCTCTGCACTCTGCCCCCCCACCCACTTGCCTCCTCTATGGACACTGCTGGCAATTTGTATCTTCCTTTAATCCTTCTTTTTTATTGTTTTCAATTAGTGTGTGGCTAAAGCATTAGTGACGAATAAGATCTTAAATCTTAATTATTCAGATTTGCACAGGGCGGTGCAGAGTTTTAATTGCCCACGATTGCCTATGATTGCAAATTATTGAAACATCATCAAAGGGTAGTGTATAATTGTATAATAAATGTTTTATTTTTAAATAATGAAATCCTGCTATCCCTCCACACCCAGCTTGTACTTAAAGCATGGATAATGTTGTTGCCGCAGAAAACAAGGAAAGAGTCTGCTGCGAGGAGGAAACTAATTTATTTGTTTATTTAATTTTATTTAGAAAATTTATATGGACTCCCACTCACCCACAGTCACTTTGGGCAGCTTACAAACAATAAAAACCCAAATATAAAAGAATAAAAAATAGTAACACACACACACACACCATTGGTAGGGTTCTTTTTTTTTTTACTACTGGTTTGCTTGTGCGGGCGAGCAGGTGGGGGTACAGATATGCGCCGCTTCTGCAAATGTGCAGAAGCATCTGGCCGGGTGGGCGGAGTCTCCTGCTGCAGCCGGTTCGCCCGATCCGGCCCAAAACCAGGAGCAACTCACCTCTGACACAAACTCTTGGTGACAACACACAATCAAACAAGCCACTTGACAGACTCCATCCCATTCTGGGCTCTCCAGGCCCCTTGGCAGAACCAAGTCTTCTATGGATGGATGTCTATGGATTCTCATTCATCCAGGTCATGGTTGTCCCAAAGGTGCTTTTTTCAAGAGACAACTTGACTTTTGAAGACATTTCACTTTTCATCCAAGAATCTTCTTCAGCTCTGACTGGATGGTGGGGAATGGAAGGGATTTATATTCATTGCAGACAGCTGGTCATTTGATTCCTTTTAGAGAGTCGTTGAGACCACTTGGAGGTTTCTCTGTGCACGTGCTTTGCATGTGTGCATGTGCAGTTCATTGTTGTGCGCACACGCAGAATTTACAAACAAGATGGTGGCACCAGCAGCACCAACCGAAGAACTGGTTCAGGGGCTTGGCAGGCAAGGGTCTCTGCTGGTTCCAGTGACCCATGCCGCTATACCACTACTGCTTCAGCCAAAACCAGGCCGAACCGGTAGGAACCCACATCTGGTCCTCAAGGTCACCTGAGCAAATGGGTGTGGAGCCTTCTTGGAACGGCTAAAATGACTGTGTTGTAGAGTTGTGCAGGATGTTTTCTGCCCTGTGTCCCTTTACTTTTCAACAGTTGCCTCTTGAAAAAGCACCATTCGGACAAGTCTCCAGGATCATATGAAAGAGGTTCAAAGTGGGGGCCAGTCTAATGCCTGCAGGGGTGATGTTCCAAAGAGAGGGAACCACCATGGAGAAGGTCCTTCTTCTGGGTCCTGCCAGATGTTCTTCCTTAGGAGGCTTCCTTAGGAGACGGGACCCGCAACTTTTCTTGCTTCCCTGCTGTAGTGGTTCAGGTGGATGTAACTAATTTACGTGGGTTTAACTAAGCATTAAATGGCCTCTTGAAACTCAGTTGCACTTTGAAAATTCTTATTGGCCAGATACAATTATTTATTAAATTTAACTATTATGACAAACCAGTTCTGAAAAAGAGAAATCCTTTAATTGAGGTTGACATTATCTGGATCCTCTTAAAAGTAAATATGCAAAATTATTTGTGGGATTGGGGCTGCCTTAACCAATTAAATGAAATAAATTAAGATAAGGATTGCATATTAAACAAGTACATTTCAAGTGAGCAATATCGGATATGAGGTATGTTTTGGGAGGGATCCTAAAGGTTATAGATTAGAGGTGGTATTCAGCCAGTTCTGACAGGTTCTGGAGAACCGGTAGCAGAAATTTTGAGTAGTTCAGAGAACCAGCAAATAGGCTGGCCCCGCCCGTGCTGTCTCCTAGGCCAGCTGCTCTTCTTTTGTTACCCTGAACAGGAGAACAGAGCTGGAAAGCAGGTTAGTGGGATGGGGAGGGGATGGGGATTTTGCAGTATCCTTCCCCTGCCACATCCACAAAGCCATGCCCACAAAGCCACACCATGCCCACAAAGCCACACCCATACAACTGGTAGTAAAAAAATTTGAATCCCACCACTGTTATAGATATATTTATTTGTGGCAATTCCATGTTTTCTGTAGCATGTGGTATATTTTGCAGTTCCAAGGGGAAATGTGAAATAACAATACTCAGTTTGAAGAGATGGGAATTGGACAGATCATGACATTTTGAAAGCAAGTAGGAATTATTCAAACCTGCTTTTGCAATGGAGATGAGTTGTATAAAATTGAACAAACAAGGATCAAGCAACGAGGACAAGGGTTATAAATGCTAGAGGCACATTCAGTTACCTGTAACAGTTGTTATGATACTTATTGTAGCTGCCCAAAGCTGTTAGGCACCCCAGGCAAATGGCGTATGAGAAGAAGATCTGAGTGCCTGCATCCATCCATACCTATAAACAAGAGAAACAACAACAAAAGAATAGAATCCATAAGGCTCCATCAGTTTTTAAAGGCCCTATAACGTATGTAGGGATTCAATGATGTCTGCCATTCTGTCTTGGGTGCTCTTGGATAAGGAGGATTCTGTGTGTGTGTGTGTGTGTGTGTGTGTGTGTGTGTGTGTGTGTGTGTGTGTGAGAGAGAGAGAGAGAGAGAGAGAGATAACACTGATTGGAAGAGAGGGTAAAACAAATCTTTCTCATGGGGGGGAGAAGAAGAAGAAGAAGAAG